TTGGCTGTGTTTGAATCCAGGTATGGATGAGTTCTCAGATGCCATGTGGCCCGTTGAGTAAAGTTCCAACATTATCATGCCTTTACTCCCACCCACCCCTGGTGCTGCAGTGGAGAAGTCTTTATTATGTAAAGTGGACTAGCCTGGCCTTCTCAATGGCCCATTGACAAAGTGGGGATGGGCAGGAAGCTGCAGGCAACTATTCTGTGTTTTAAAACATGTTTCTTTCTTTTCACATCCATTCTGTATTGGCCAACTGTGATCCGACACACAGGAAACATTACGATGATCATCAAAACACGCGCATCTTCACGAAAGCACACCTAGCGATACATTTCCAATCTTCTGGGTCCTCACCTGATCAGAGATGCCTGTTCTGGACATATTGAGGTAGGCTAACGAAGCCATCGCTGTCATAGCATGGATCCCAGTATCCGTCACAATTTGACAGTTGCACAAATTCAAATAAATTAGATTTGGGCACCTAAAGACAGGATAAGAAATGTTGAAATGTTTCTTACTTAATCCCCAACTCACAAACACACTTTGAGCCCCACGTTTCTGTTGCTAAGTGAGACGTGGGTTAGGTGAGCTTTGCCCCGTTTGGCGTCCTTCCTTGCCACAGTTGTTCAGTGAATCACAGCAGTTGTTAAGTTGGTAAAACACCACTGCGGCCCCACGCACACGTCCCCCCCCCGCCCCCCGCAACTGTGCGAGCGGCCCTCGCATGCCCCACGCCCTGCGCATGTGTATGTTCCCCCTCATTTCCCCCCATCCCACGCATTCAGGTGTAGGCCCCATACATGCCCGTCGCGCATGTGCACTCCCTCACACATGCCCTGCCCCCCACGCATGTGCGTCAGAGACCCGAAAACCAGCTGGCCGGCGGGAGGCGTGCGCATGCTCGGTGGAGCTGAACTAGGGCGACGACTCGCGTGCCCCCAGAGGATGCTCCGTGTCACCTGTGGCCCGTGTGCCACGCAGGGGTGCGTTCCGGCTGCCGCTACTGCTGGTTCGCTCAGGGATGCACCCCGCACGCACGCCGCACGTGCATACTCAGTGCAACAAAAATTGATCTGGCAAAAACAAGATGGCGCCGCCGAGAGAACCGGTTCAGAGGAGTGGCAGGCCTGGGTTGCTGCCGGTGCAGCGATCCAGGCCGCCAAGTTACTACTAAACAATTTGTTTTGATTAATTAAAAGTAACTCCGTTTAAAATCCTGAGTGACAGCCTGGCTTTGTGTATGTGAGGTCTATGCTATTTTGCAACACTGAGGCATCTTTGTGTGCTGCCAGTGAAGCGTCACGGAATCATGTTGAGTTCAATGTTTTCACAGCTAGAGAGAGAGAGAGAGAGAGAGAAATGTTTAATGCCCACGATCGGTGTAAATGATGCCAGGGCTACATGAATGGCTTTCATTCAGTTTGCTGCTTCCATCTTGGGAGCGATTCAAAACTAAATATCTGACGGCTTCATTAAGCCCCCAGCCAGTTTTGTAAAATAATTATGAACTCAAACCCCGAGGATGGTCCTTGTTGACTTGGGTGATGACCAATCTGTCAAGGATTTCTGGAAATGAAGCCTCGCTATATTTTTCTATGGGAGAGAGACTGTCTGGCTCCTCTTGGTGAGATCTGTCCAATATGGTGGAATGTGTGGCAATGATCTTAACTTCCTCAAACCATGCAATCATGCGAAGGTAGTGCTTTAGCAGGGAATTCTCTCCCTGCCTCCCTCCCTATCCATCNGGCCCCGTTCCAACCGAACCGGTTGGAACGGGGCGAGAAACCCACCCCTGTACCCAATTCTCAACATTGTTAAGAAGAAACTGGACATCCATCTCTTGAGGATGGTTTGATTGGTCTTCCTATGCAGGGCAGAGGGCTGGATTAAACAATCTATGTAGTCTGTTTTACCTCCACCCTCCTAACAATAGATTGTATGACTTCATAGAACATTTCCAATTTAAATTATTGAATTAAATTTAAACATTGAGACAGATAGAATGGTCTGGTCTACCAGATCCCATCCTGGCTTTCTAAAGCAAGATAGGGATGAATTTGAGTGTTAGAAATTCTGTTTATATATAGCAGCACAGAGCAAACAAAGAGTACAGTCACCATGTGCTTTACTGCTCAACTGTAACAGGAAACAGGAAACTCTACTTAGAACAAAAGAGGATAGAGTATATACCACGGATCCAAACTTGTAAACACTGCCATCTACTGGTTGAATATTTCTGTAGTTGTTGCATAGAAATACCTTCCAACAGTGAATTTCAATATTCAGTCCCATAGATAGCAAGCATAACACTTGAATGACAAGGAATTTTATGAAATGAAACCTCAACGTATTAATACAGAAAATTCAAAAGTCATAGATGTCACACCTGTATGTTATTTTACCTTCATTCCTGTATCAGTAATCTGCTTACACTCCGACAGAATAATCTCCTTTATTTTCAAATGCTTGCCAAGGCTCTCCAAACCCTATAAACATTTTAAAGCAATGTTAACGTACTAGCAGTCTAATATTTTTTTAAAAATGGTTAAGCTGATTGAATTGTAAAATACACCCCAACGCTGTAAATTGGGGAGGGGGAAGGAAATTGGTGTTGGAAATTTAAAAAACGGAAATGGGCAGGAACAGGTACAGAATTAGATTGAATTTTTTTTTAATATTCTCAAAAAGGGGAAAAAAGGTTGTCTGTGACAGAAGACCCACAATACACAATGCTACTGATGAAAGAAACGTCCTTCTGGTTTCGGGGAAGAAGATGCTGGAGACATGGAGGCTGCTTGGAAAGATGGTTTATTGGTGGACAGGGCCACATGGCTTGAGCCCTGAACAGA